ACGCCAGGCACTTACCCTAGAGGCAGCCATCTGGGTTGCCAAGTCTGTTGAAGAAATGATCAAGGGCAGGACTGCCAACAAGGTCGAAATTGGTGAGAAAATAAAGTTTGAGGGATCACCAAGGTCCGACAAAAAGATAAAATTCTCGAAGTATAGTTCAAAGAAGTATGAGATGAAGGAAGATGGTGCGATTAGTGCAAGAAGAAGCACTCGGGAAAATGTGGCGCGGATGTGACATGTTTCAAGTTGTGGGAAGCATGGGCACTACGCTGATGAATTTATATTCAACAAAAAGGTATGTTACGAATGTAATGAAGAGGGGCACTTTAAGCAAGACTGCCCAAAAAGGAAAGGATCTATGAAACAAAATGCGCCACCAAAGGCAAGATCATTCCAAATGATCCTTGACAAAGCAGACCATAATGTGGGAAATCAAGGATGAGGATTATATATCCAAGGATCAAGTTATGAAGTAGCAGTACAAATAGTAGCTTATGATGTAGCCTATTAGAGGCATAATATAGGGTGAACTTGAATGTTTGTGTAATAGTTTCAAGTTTTGATATAAACCCTGGTTTTGATATTTATGTGATATTTATGGTTTTAATACCTGCTATGTTAAATGATTGTGTATTTTTGAATAGTGACTTGGTTCGACTGAGAGACAATACTTGGGACGAGTATGAGTAGGTGTGAAAGGTAGTAGATGCATATACTACCGGAAGCACATGACTCACACTTGGATCAGGGAAAGTCACAAGGTTGCCAAGAAGCTAGTGATTGATCTCGTTTCATTCAAGTATGTCGTTACCATTGTTTCGGTAGTGACTAAGAAGATGATTGATATTCTGACCCTAACGGTCATATCAAATTAAGATCAAATTAAGTCCGACTACGACGAGTTTCTTACGTGGTTCATAGAACCAATTTCGAGGTAGCATCTGACTCAAGTCAAAAGATTGAAATCAATGTGATCGATAGCATCGCGCTCGTTGTTAAGGAAGTTTGTAGCTAGAAACGCTACATGTAAAAATGTCATTATATCACATTAGAATATGAAGGAAGGTATATTCCATTCTGGAATTTGACTCTATGAGACTTGAGTCTAAGCGTTGCATCATACGATGAGAGGTCATCAGGACACAACCCATCGGTCTGTTACGATAGATAAATGAACGTATTTATCCTAACAAGAAGTAGGAGTCCACAATAAGGATTTATTTTATAAATTGAAGGTAACAATTGAAAGTCCAACATAGTATGAAGACTAGACGTAAGATTGAACATCACGGTTATTAATTAGGATGGAAAGTTAACGTATGGAATCATTATTCAAGCCCTGTTTCGTTGATGATTCCGGGACGTAATCATCCTAAGGGGGATATAATTGTAACGCCCGTAGATTAGAGCTAGTCAATTTAGAGACAATAAGCATCAAAACCGAAATTTTGATAGAAGATTATTTAGAATGAGTAATCTTAACTAAGTTGTAGTATATGTCACAAGGTTTCTGTGCATATAAAGAACGCCAAAATCCGAGTTATAACGAAGAAGTTATGACCTGTCGAAGTTTCGCAACAGAACCGACACGACGCTGAATGATGTAAAAAGTGAATTTACGTTAGATTGATATTTATCCTTAGCAATCTAAACAAAAGTCTTAGAGTTCGTTAAACCTTGAGCGTGAATAAAAAGAACATCTGAATCTGACTTTGTATGAGGAAGTTATGATTTTTCTAAACATCCGAATACTCGATTTGAGATTGAGCGATTTTTAGCCGAAACAATATAAACGAGAATCGAAGAACTTGTTAATAGTAGTCCAACGGTAGAAAGATAGACGAAAACGGACGTCGGATGAAGAAGTTGTGAATTTATAACGGAGTTTTCTTGTCCCGGCCTACTAAAAATAATATAATAAAAATAAAATCAAAATTAGCCAAGAGAGTCTAAATGAACGTTGTAGAGCATAATCTCACCTACACATGGATATAAAGAACGTCGAAAATGGAGCTCATATGCGAAAGTTATGAATTTTTGAAGATCGTGGCATGGATACCAAAGCTTATCCAAAGCGTACACCCAGCGTAACCAAGATTACGCCCAACATACTTGGAAATTATGCCTAGCGTAATCCTAGACCCAGCAGCCTATAAATAGAAACCAAGATCAGCCATTTTCTTTGTTCATTTTCTCTTCTCTCTCTCACGTTTTGCCTCGATTTTCGTACAAAAAATATCCCGAAGCCTCGGTATCATTCCTCAGCCCCGAAGCCCTGAAGATCCCGAGTAGTGAAATTTCCTAGCCAAAGCTCTGGCCGCGAGAAGCTCGGATTTTGTGAAAATCTTCCAGATCTACCCAAGAATACTACCTTCTACAAGTTGTAGTGTTGTCCGATCATCTTCTGATCAAGTGAGTGTATAGTCACTTTCGTCTTACACATAGATATGAAGTATTTTATAAAATACGTGCTATGTGTATATATATTGTTGTTTATATGAGTGAGTGTGTGGTTATTTTCTTCTAACACATAAATATGAAGTATTTGCTTTAAAATGCGTGTTATGTGTTTATATACTATTGTTTATTTGAGATAAGTGTGGAATGGATGTTTTATAAGGTTTTTTAGATGAGTTAAACCGTATATGTATTTTTTTATCTACTAATATGTTTGGTAGAACATGGGTAGATGAGATAGTTGGTATGTGATAAAATGATGAGGTAAATGACGAGGTATGTAAGATGTTTAAAGAATAATATTGGTAGATGCACCAAGTAGACAATGTCATAATACTATTAGATGCACTTGATAATAATATTGGTAGATGCACCAAATAGAGAATGTCATAATACTAGTAGATACACTTATAGGATAATCCTGGCAGATTCGCTTATAGGATAATGTCGGCAGATGCGCCCAAAAGAGAATGTCATAAACCTGGCAGTCGCGCCTCATAGTGTATGACGTAATCCTGGCAGAGGCACTTAAAGGATGATGTTCGTAGATGTGCCTTATGTAGCAATGGATTTTGTGTCAATTCCATAGGTCAATCCTTAGGAATGAATGAATGAATGATAGTTGAATTCTTAGGGTAAACCTTTAGAAATAAAGATTACAATGGGGATGGGTAATTGGGTTGATTGTTTGATGGTTGAATATAATAATTATATTATTGTGGTTCGAAAACCTTATATGCTCACCGGGCTCCGAAGCCTGACCCACTCAGTTTTCTTTGTATGACAGGTATCAATACAATGACATCCCGAGATTTTGTTATATAACGAAAATACTTTTCCTTAAGAAATGCTTTGATAAATTCTTATCATATTTTGTTTTGGAGACAAATTCCGCAACAATTTTCTTTAAACGATTACTCTTATTTTGAAAACAAAGCATAAAAAAATCGGTCTTTTCTGGCCGTGAAATTGAGGATGTCACAGTTTGGGTCCTAATCGCTAATTGGGTGATATTTTGGTATTGTTAGCTTGAGGAGTTGTCAGGGTAGCAGCTAAGGATTTCTTGCAATGAGCTTCAACATTCGAGGTGAGTCTCCTCACTGTTGTATGGGTCGAAGGCACCAATGCCGACCTATTTGGTTTATGTATTGTAGGAAGACCCGGGGTTAGCTCTTGTCGTTATGTATAAAAGACCATGAGGGCACAATGTATGCAAGACCGGAGTCTGAACTCTGGCAAGTAATTGGTTAAGTAGTATAGTTTGTATATTATTTATCTTTGTGATGCTTGCATGGAAGACTAGGAGGTGGGTCTTGGCGCTTGTCTGTAAGACCCAGGGTTGTGCCCCCGGCCTGACAAGAAAGACTAGGAGGCAGCTCGTGGCATAATGGCAAGGCGATGGTTCGCACATAGCAGTCTCATTGATTATGGTATATGATGGATGTGTGTATCTCAGAGTTATATATGACATGTATGGATTGTTTGATATGTATGGTATGTGGTATTTAGGAAACTCACTAAGCTTTGTGCTTACGGTTTTCAGTTTATGTTTCAGGCACTCCAGTTTTCAAATGGAAGAGCTCGAGACGATCGCAGCACATACGCCCATGTCTAATAGCAATATGTGATCTTTTGGATTAGACACTGATAATTGTGTTAATTGAAATGCTTTTCAATGTTTAGAACAAAGCTACAATAGTGTTTTTATTATAATAATAATGTAAATTTTACCTTGGATTTTTAGGCTGCTACATGCTCTGCTATTTTTATTTTATTTAACATGTTTATGTATTAACTCATAATTTGTTGTTATTTGTAAAAATTATTTTTTTATAGATTATTATCATGTTAAAATGTATACGTATGAGATATAATAATCAAAAAGTGGATTAGAGCACTTGTTTATATTCATTTTTATTATTTTTTTTCTTTAATTTATATATATTGAATACATACATTTACATTCCTTGTTTGCATATTTTAATTTATAGATTGATTGTGGTTAGGGGTGTACAAAACTCAACGTATATCCAGAACATAGTATATCGAAGGTTTTCAAACTTTTATTTGGGTTGTCAAAGAAAAACACATGAGTAAAGGAAGTGGATGGATTTGTTATCCTTGTAACGTTTATAAATCTTTAAAATACTTAATGGTACCCGAAAAGTAAAGTATAACTTTTTTCAAAATGGTTTTGTGCCTAGGTACACTTGTTGGTCAAAGACATGGAGAAGCACTATTGGATTGTAGCATATTGTTGATCGATGCACACATTAACGATAGTACATACAACAACGAGTCATATTACTCTATTAAATAAAGGATCATATTGCTGTAAAAAAAGAGTTACAAAAATAAAAATGCATACAAACTTAAACCAACAAAAAAAAAAAAAAAAAAAAAAAAAAAAAAAAAAACCTTAAATGAACGAACGACATCAGTGTTCTTGATCGTTCACTTATTAAATAAAGGAAAATACACTAACTTACCACTACACAGTACGCAACATGTGGTTTGGTTACATCCGTACTACCAATTACTTTATACCGACTCTCCTTATTGACTTTCCTAAACTTTAACAATTTTTACACGGATAGTTAAAAAACAAATCCAAAACAGTTCACAACTTTTATTGTATACAAAACATTCTAAGTTTTTTGATTTCATAAAATCTTATGTTTCGGATCGAACCTTTTCAATAAGTTCCCGCCGTAGAAGTTTCCCCGCAGCCGATTTTGCACATTGTTTACAAATGTCGCTCGCTTCAATCTTTTTATAAGGTGAAACCTGTATCGATTATATTCCAGTGAATATGATTTTTATTAAAATATAAAAATATTACAAACCTTTACCTGTTCAGCAATAAATTTCTTAACATCATCTTCGGTCAACGAACTGTTTGGAGACCGAACGACAAATGCAATTGGGACTTCGCCAGCTTCCATATTGGGAAACCTACCATAATACTTATACTGATTAGCTACAACATATCAGATCTAAAAGAGAATGTTGAAAGAAAGAGCAATGTAATTTTCCCTTTTTACCGATGTGGGAAATATACTTCAAATTTTATGCATAATAACAACATACTTATTGTATTTACACAATGCAACAAATATTAACCATGAAAACAAGTATATTTTTTCCCATTTGATTTTTGCTTTACTCTTGTAGTTGTTTCTTTTTCATATGTGGTAGTATATTTTCCAAATCAGTATTCTAATAGTACCGTTAAGGTACGTTGCTACTAAAGGTAAAAGTGAAAGTATTATCCTTTATAATTTATATTTGCACCCATAATACCAATGTACTTATGATTTTCTACCGAAAACAATTATTTGAACCTGGAAAATTGGTAATGGGTTACCATTTATTTTGTTTTTAACCCTTTTGTTCTTATGGCATTCAACTAATAATGTTATGGTTATACAAATACCAAATCTACATTGAGATATTTAGGATAAAGTATATTATATTATGGATAGATAGTAAAGTATATTACTCATCATGGTAAAAAAAAAAAGGGGAAAGGTAAATTCCTATTTCCTGAAAATTGGCCATTTAGAAAATGTTGTGAATAAGCTTCAAATTCTGAATAAGATTGTCTTATTAACTTACGGAATTACTACAACATTCAATATTTCAGAGTGTGAAAGTAAAAGCACTTCAAGCTCTACTGGTGCAACCTTAAAAGTATAAAACATACAGCCAAGATTAATGATTGTTATTGTCATGAAAAAAAGATAACAAAAAAACCTATCAAAATAGGATCTTTGGAAGATATAAGTTACCACAACTTTTTTACCTGAAAACCCTTGCACTTAATGAGTTCCTTTATTCGGTCAAACACATATAACTTACCTCGATCATCAAAATACCCAAGATCCCAGTGTGCACAAAACCCTGTTTATCTCCATATACTCTGTAGCATGTGCATTATTAAGATAACCTATAAATTAAGATCTAAAACAGATTTTATGCCTAAAAAGCAAATTAAAGATTCGTCTTTTATGTGTAAAAAATGATAAGATGTTCATACCTTGCATCATGCTAGCTCCTCGAACCCATATTTCACCCATCTAGTTAATATGAAGAGGCTTATCGGTATCTGCACTAACTATTTTCACCTCAACACCTAGTAATAGAATCCCAGTGGAACCAGAGTTACGTGGGCCAATGATTAGACTCTTCATTGTTATAAGCCCAGTTTTTTAAGTCATACCATATCCCTGTTGGGTTTCTTGATTTTGTCATATAATTTCAAAATTCTTAAAGAAATTCAAAAATCAAAGCAAAATGGTATTCAGAACTCTAGCTTATAACTACGAGTCTTATGGTCTACAATGTTTTGTATAAAGTTCAGTTACCCCCTTTTGGATTGGAAAATTTTAGATCATATGAGTTTGGGTCGTATAATTACTATCATAACATTCTCAACCAAATTAAGTTTTTGTCTAATAATAAGTTTTAAATCACAACATTTTTGAATCATAAAATACTCTATTAAAGATCATGACTTATGTAAATCAAAATACTTTTGGATCTTAACAAACTTATTAAAAATAACAATTTTTTATCTTGAAATATTTTGGATCATACATTTTAAGATCATAACATTTTCACCGAAGTCGGGTTTTTGTGTAATAATAAGTTTTGAATCATAATATCTATTAAATCATGTAATTTTGAATTGCAAAAGATACGATTAAAAATCATTATTTTTTTTGAATAATAATGTTTCAGGTTAAAACAAATTAAAGATCATGTTGAATTATAACAAACTTGTATTATGAATATTTTAACTAATATCATTTTTAACATTAAATTTTTTAAAACTTACAATATTATAAAATAAAGTTTAATATATAAACAATCTTATTTTTTTTAAGTAAATAATGAAGGATATATATATATATATATATATATATATATATATATATATATATATATATATATATATATATACACGTGCCAAATTAAGTTTGAAAAGGAGATCATTAAATATATTGGTTCAAATGGAAAGGAAGATTACCTGAATAACCATAACATGAAGAAACTTTTTGGCACACTCCTCCATTAATTCTTTCCCCAAAGGTGCAGCACCTGAAGCAATTTGCTTTAAAGAAGATAGATCGAACTTCTTTACTGCATCCTGTTTAGCCAAAGCAAGTATAACCGGAGGAACAACCCATAAATTTTTCACTCTATATTTCTAAATGTGCTTTAGTAACCTTTCAAAATCAAACTTCCCCTTCGATCCTCTCGACTGGTGACCTTACCTAGCATATCTAGGTGTTGGCCTACCACTTCGATCCTCTCGACTGGTATATCACATACTATCACATAATCATAGTCTGTCTAGCATTGATGGGTACTAAACTACCCCTTCGGCCCTATCAACCAGTAACTTGGGGACTATCTCCCCCTACTACTACCATACATAATATCATATCACATATATCATAATAGTAGATAGAACATCATAGGTAGCAACAAACCTATATGAATATCACAAAGACAATCATCTAACGTACATCTCCTACTAATGGGTTGACATTGTGGCCTTAGACCCACTGCTACTGGAAGGTAACTCACCCCTCAATAGACTGCTGAATAATTCGTGCAAAGGTGACACCGTCGACTGCTCCAACTACTCCCCGACTATCATGACCACATAAACGTTTAGTCACTAATTGTTGGCTCTTTTATGGGTAAAATGACTATTTTACCTATTTTGATCTAATTTGGGCCATGAACTAGGCCCACTCCTTTCTAGTCCTCACTAGGGCCTATTAAGTCCCCAAATGGCCCAATTTTCTAAATTGGGCCCAACTCTTCAAATGGTCTTTTCTTCCATGCCCAAACCAATTCTCCGACCCTTAACTGACTTTTGAAGGCCTATCACATCTCAACTACCTCTATGTCCAAAGCTAGGCCCAAACCGAGGCCCAATAACTTAATATCCATTGACTGAGCATACACTGAGCGTACGTATCTGTACGCTGAGCGTACTACTTAAATGGCTTGTACGTTGTGCGTATTGGCGTGTACCACCAGTGTACTCTCCTATTAACCCATCTTCTCCAAAATGACTTAATCCCTTAAGATAGAATGTCGAACTTACAGAAGCTTAATTCATAAAGTTGTGAGAGTCTAGTTCCAACAATGTGGCAATTTGCCAGCTACAATGTGGCGACAGGTGTCACTGCGACTGTTTTTTTTTTTGTAAAGCTGCTACAACGTGGCCTATGGTGGCCACGACGTGGAGGTCAGTTAGGGTTGACTTTTTACCAAGTTGACTTTTGGTCAACTTATGGGTTTTAGTGTGTAGTCTGAGAGGGTACTTCTATATTGATGATTATGTGATTCATAATACCAGTCTTCACTGTCAGAGAGCTATTGTGATTGTATGATATTGCGAGGTGAGTCTTCTCACTATACTACTTGTGTGTGAATGCTAGACTAGTCGAGTGTTATTTGTTGATTGTTGTTGTGTGTATTATTGGTTGTTGATAACCTACAAGGTTGTTGATAATCCATAGGGCTGTTGTGAGCCCATAGGACTATTGATAATCCTAGGGTTGCTAATAACACATAATTGTTCATTATGTTATGTTGTATGTGATATTTTGGGTGAACTCGCTAAACTTCATGCCTACATTTGTGAATTTAAATGTGTTTCGGGTACTTCAGATGATCGTGGAAAGGAGAAGGCTTAACTGTATACACTCATCGACACCTTTTGTGATTCCGCATTATTAGGATACTCTAATTCTGGGATGATTGTATTTTGAAAATTATGGTTTTTCTTGACTTGGTTTTTATGGAAACAATGTTTTTACCTAATTTAAAAATGAAAATTTTGTTTGTGTAAATGAGACATTACATTATTATAACGAACCCAAACAGATAACCCTTCACTTTTTAAACTGCTTCACCAGTCATTAGAAACTATTTGTTTCATATTTTTTCAGAGTGCAAGGCCTCATCGTCTTCATTTGAGTAAGAGAATCATGAATATTAAGATTTAAGAACTGTATCATTGATATTCAAATATGAAGTCGGAAAAGAGTATAAAATGATGAATCCAAGGTCTTCCTCATCATACTTAGATTAGAAATAATTTCTTTGAGGTTGAATATATGGGTAAGAAATCTCCACTTTTTGAAATTTGTGTAAGAACAACTTATGTTTCCAATGCATCTTGTTTGTAAGAACCTTCTTCATACAAATAGATTCAAGTTTTAACCAAATAGCTCTTGAAGACTTTTGTTAAGTACTTGTTGAATAATATTGTTGTGTAAGTAAAGTCAAATACAAGTAAGAGGATGCTGGATGCGGATCCTTTCTTTCTTCATTTGTAGTCCAAGTAGCTTTAGATTTACCTACAAACAAATCTAAAGCGTCCTCATAATCGGTTTATTCCAAAAGATCTCTCATCTTCACTTGCCAAAGTGAAAATCTAGTGTTACAATGTAGCCATGAGAAAATAAAAATCAAGGTACATATAATTTGTAATACAGCTAATCGTCAATTTATAGATCAGTTCAAGAAAATCATTTCATAAGGGCTAAGAATTGATTTATATGGCTGGGAAAAAAATTGTATATCAGGTTGTGTATGACTTTAAGGAAAAATAATCATATACGTCTTACATGCATATGAGCTTAAGATAAAAATTTAAAAGGGTATTTTCACTGAACTTGGGTTTTTGTTTAATAACAAGCTTTGAATCATAATATCTATTAAATCGTATAATTTTGAATTGTAAAAGATAACGTTAATGATTATAAATATTTTGAATGATAATATTTTCAGTAAAAACAAATTAAAGATCATAACATGTTGAATTATAACAATATTGTATTATGAATATTTTAACTATATCATTTTGGATAATATCTTTTTCAAGTTTAATTTTTTAAAAACCTAGAATATTATAAACTAAACTTATATATATATATATATATATATATATATATATATATATATATATATATATATATATATATATATATATATATATACTAGCAGTGCACCCGCGCAAAGCGGCGGGACATGTAAATTCTTTCAGTGATATGTTTCCTCTACAAAAATGTTATGTTACAAAAGAAAGTACACGTCGAAGACAAAATAATCAAACTATGGTGTTATTTGGGAAATAAAGTCATTTTTTGTTCCTGGACGGTGGACTTTATAGTAGAGGAGGGAGCAAAGAGGTATATGCGATTGGAGGGATATTTGAATCAACATGCTAAATTTAAGGATATCTAAAAGGGTTCAAAATTTGAATGAATCCGAGATTTGAGGAAACCATATCAAATTGTTGAGAAATATATGGAGATTTGATGATAAATATTTGAATTCAAAATATGGTTAAAATTTAATATTATTTTATTAATGATTACTTGTACTATCAGCTTCATCATTTGGACGTCTTAAAAAAATATTATTATTATAATCAATCTATTTTTAGAAATAGTTAGATTTCTTTTATAAGATAGTAAAGATATATATATATATATAAGAAATAAAGAATTAAAACATTAGGTGCGAAATTAAGTTTAAAATGACAAACAATCGAACAATTATAAATGGCCAGAAAGGAGATCATTAAATATATTTAGTTCAAATGCAATGGAAGTTTACCTGAATAACTGTAACATGAGGGAACTTTTTGGCACACTCCTCCATTAATTCTTTCCCTAAAGGTGCAGCACCTGAAGCAATTTGCTTTAAAGAAGATAGATCGAACTTCTTTACTGCATCCTGTTTAGCCAAAGCAAGTATAACCGGAGGAACAACCCATAAATGTGTCGCTCTATATTTCTCAATGTTCTTTAGTAACCCTTCAAAATCAAACTTCCCCATTGATATGATGGTATTCCCTTCCTGTAGCTGAGAATATAGTATAGTCGCAAGTCCGGCTATATGAAACATGGGCAAGACACATATGAACCTGTAGTCTTTCTCCCCCATTAATCTTTGATCTGAAGTAATCATCTGTGAGTTAGAGATGAAATTCATATGGCTTAAAACGACACCCTTACTAACACCGGTTGTTCCAGAAGAGTACAGTAAGGCCGCAGTATCATCTCCTCCGATGGACACATTAGGGAGTTCTGAGACTGAGGAAGATGTTGAAATCAAATCGTTATATGAATAACATCCTTTTCTTGGACTTTCTGACCCTAAAAACACAACCGGCAGGCCAAAGCTTTCAACTTTTTGGTACAATGCTGGAATGGTGATGATGAGTTTGGGTTTAGAGTCTTGGAGTTGTTTGGATAGCTCGCCGACAGTGTACTGAGGGTTGACGGTGGTGGCTATGGCACCGAGAGCGATGACAGAGAAAAGAGAGACGGAGTATTGGATTGAGTTGGGGGCGAAGAAGAGGACGACGTCGTTCTTGGAGATACCCAGTTGGGTGTTCAAGGCTTGAGAAAGCTTGGCTACGGTGGTTTTGAATTCAGAGAAAGTGAGGGTTTCGCCGGAGTCGCAGTCGATTAAGGCCGGTTTGTTTGGGTACGATGAAACGTTACGGAAGAGGAAGGAGATCATTGATGTGTGTTGTTTTGCTGGGATGACTACTGGTGGTCGGAGTGATCGGAATATTCCGTCATGGCCATACCCAGATTTGTCCATCGACATTGTGTGTGTTTTTGATAGATGAGCAATTTCTACCAAATGATATTCAAGTGCTCATCACCTTCATATCTTTCACATTTTATACTCCTCCATCTTGGCTAGTGACGGGTCTAACATTCTTTTTTCTAAATTTTCATTCTGAAATAATATATCTAAGTAATAAATTATAGTTTAAATAATCTATTAATTATTGAAGTTGTGAAAAAGAAAATTAACAATCTTGTAGAATATTATAGCGATATTAATTAAAGGTTGTTATAAAAGGCCTAATATTATAGATACAGTTAATTAATTCACATAGAGTTTAGGAACAGCCTACTTTTTGCGGAAATTGGCCTTTTATTTTTATCCAAAATGGAAAGTGATATTTGGGTTAATAATTTACACAAAGGTAAAATACATTTGCATCTATCGTACAAGTTAGTAAAACATACATTCAAGTGGTTAAATCAATTTATTAAGTTGAAATATCAATTGTCATCAAAAATTTGGCACTAAATTTGATATTTTTCGGATTTTCCAGCTAGTTTACGTGTACCACCGATTCAACCAATCTTTCATCTTCCTTGTTTTTCTTTTCGACCTTCACCTTAATTTTTTTCTCCCGAGACGTAATCAGTCGACGTTGTTGTATGAGAAAAGAACTGTGACTCTATCGGTTAGTGAACGTTCAGGTTTTTGGCCTTTGTCTTGTTACCATTGGCATCACAGACGCTCCCATATTGAATGAAACTTCACACAACGTTGCTTCAAGCTCGCCGGACACCACCCCCACTATCTTTCTGCCACTTGCCCGACCTTCTTCCCCTCAATTTGAAATTTAAATACTCTCATTTGATTCAATCTAACATTGACATCGAAGGAAACATGTGGTTTTCTAGTTTGGACAACTCGATAGCTTAATTATGTGCCGATTTATGTTCTTATCGATTCATTGTTTTAATTTGATCTTAGTTATGGATCGGTAGGGTATGTGATTTTTAGTTTATGATTGTTGTTTTTTCAGCTTAGGTTATTGGTTGAACAGTATTGTATGTTTAGTTTTTGCCCACCATATGTTCACTAAAATGTGTGAGTGGCTGTTTGATGCTTCAACTTCTACTATTCTTCCGTACTATTTCAGCTTCAATTTGAGTGGCTGTTTGCGGGGACTTGATTGAGGGGTTGTGCCAGTGCTCTACAGAAACGGGTAGCGTGCCCCTTCCTGTTGCAATTTCTGCAGTGTAACTCTCGGCAGGCTCCATAGTGATGGAAGTTACACTTGTTTCATTTTGGGCGAATCCTCGCATATTGTTGTGCTGACGTTGGCGTGGCAGGTGTTCTAACAACATGAACAACAACAATCTATTGTTTCTTCGAGGGATCTTGAGTTGGTTGTCCCTTTTTCCTACTCTCAGATCTTCGTTTATGGTCGCCCCCTTTTGGTAGTTTAAGAATGGGGGTCATTATTCCTTGGCGGACTCCATGGTCCACGAGTGTTTGTGCTAGTTGCTTGGCATTGTCAAACGTGAGAGGTTTTGCAGCTATCATGTTTCCTTGAATCTGAGGAGATAGTCCCCAAATGTATCTCTCTATCTTCTTGCTCTCCGGGGCATAGTAGCGCTAAATCACTAAATCTATTAGTGTAGGCTACTATGTCTGAACCTGTCATGGTAATCTCCCACAACTCTTGCTCCAGTTTTTGTACTTCACCCCTCGAGCAGTACTCCTTTAGCATCATTGTTTTTAGGCTTGCCCAACCCATTGAGTTTGCCACTGGTAGGGTCAGTGATTTGACATGGCCATTCCACCACGTCAGGGCCCCATCGGAGAAAGTGCAGACAACAAACATGACTTTGCTCCCTTCTGGGCACGTGCAAATTTCAAATACTGATTCTGTTTTCTCGAAACATTGCTTTAGAGCAATGACTCATCCACTTCCGCTAAAGTATTTAGGTTTTAATTCATGAAGTCTTTATATGTACACTCCCTAGAGTGTATGTGGTTATTTCCATGATTAGATGGGTTAGCACCACTTACCGCCCATTGGTACCACTTGCATGGATATGAGACATGGCGGCTGTTACGGTGGTATTCACCGTAGTCTGGAACATAGTGGGGTCATATTATGGACGTGGTTGTAGTGGATTTGTTGTCGTGTTGTTATTAGACCTGATATATCTACGAGGTAACATCTTTCTGTCATAAAATTTAAAGTTGAAAGGTAGGTAAAATATCGGTAGAGGTTATAAATCAAATGTCATACGAACTAGGTTATTGTATTTGACTGTAACATGCTCCGAAAGTGTTCTGTAATAAATTCATAATAGAAGTTTATGTGAAAAATAAACTTATGAATTTTCCATAGTGACTACCATCACTGAATTTTTTTGACTTGATTTGTAGTTATCAGTTGTGATGAAAGACGTGATAAACCTAACACATAGTGTGAGTAGTGTAATCACTAACTCACTGGTTTATATTATTTTCTTAACTATTAATATTCCGTATAAGGTGGTCTCTAAATTGTTTCTAATAGGATAAGGTTTGTTAATGATGTATCTAGTGCCTTTCTCTTCGGTCGATCCTTTCTTGGAATCCTCCTTGTAAAACCTCTTTTGGTTCTGTCTTGATTCCTCTGTTGGTTGTTTGTGATGTTTAGGTGTGTCAGTTGTGCGAGAATGGAAGTGTCTAAAGAATCTATGAGATTTATTAAACATTTTTATTAACATAATTTTTTTTTACGAAAATGATCCTTACCTGGTCTTTCTATAATCACTTAGTGTATACAGATTATATATAACTAAGATCAAATAGATCGTCGAATAAGTGATCCTACTCTAAAATCACAACCAAACAAGGAACAGGAAGTCGAGTGAAAATCACAAATTCTAAGTCTATAAAATCTCAATTATATATAACCTTAACGTATACTCTCAGTAATTATAGACCTAACAGTAAAGATCTTTTAGTTTTCACATAAGTTAGTTATAGTACCTAAAATACTCCTATAGTATTTTAACTTTATGTTTTGTTCTAGCATTTCTTTGTATATAGGGATGGTAAGTTTTAGGCTTGCTGCAACACCACTATCAATCCCAAACAGATATTGGTCGTATCTAAAACAAATATAGTTGATTAGGCTATATTTATCGCAGATATGATTACATAACTGTTTAAGTTTGACTGTAATGTCCAAAATCTAATGCTATTGTTTTGTTCTTCTTGTAATATTTGTTCTAGTATATATATATATATATATATATATATATATATATATATATATATATATATATATATATATATATATATATATATGCTTGTATGTATACTTTCATAAAAATATACTTATATTTTAAAAGTATACTTTTAGTTAGAACACTTCGGTCCTATTGTATTTATAGTTGTGTATATTTTAATAATTTATATACTTAATTCACTATAAACAATGCTCTAATACCAATCTGTCACACCCCCAAACCCGAACGGCGGAAATGTTCGGGGGCGAAGGACGTCATGTTTAAGTATCACAACCATTACATAATAGTAATCAAAACAACAACAAAAACCATTATATTAACAATATAAAGTTTACATTGTGTTCAAAATGTTACTTGATTTATATTAATACTATAACAAAAGATAAGACGTAAAGCTCCATCTTCGCAACACCTAAGAGAGTACATATCTACTAACGATCCTAAGAATACATGTGGTTTGAAAAAGTGTAAACATTAAAGTTGGTGAGTTCATAAGTATTTTGTTTTAGAAAACATGTTCTTTGTTCTTTTTAAAACATGAGGTGTTACTCCAGAAAATCCTATATTTTCTGATGTGATGAATGATGAGTAAAATTACTCTTACTAGTTCCTTCTACGAGTACTTAGTGTATACAAGTTATATACAATCCAGATCAAACAGACAATCGATTGTGTTGTTCAGCCCCAAGCCCACAACCAAACAAGGAACAGGAAATGAGGCGGAAATCACACATCCCAGTGTTTGTCGGATCATCATTGTATATAACCTTGATTTATTTGATGGGTTTTGAGCATTCTAACACTTCCTAAGTGTGCATGCAACCCTAATAAACCTTGGATCTATGTTTGTCTAAATACATGCAAAATTTTGTTTCCAAGGTTCATAATCCTATCTAGCATACATGGGGAACTTTTATCTTAAAAGGATGGTTAGAATTACATACCTTGTAGTTGATTTTGATTCCTTGAAACCTTGAGAGCCTACCACCCCAAGTGTGATGCCTCAAATGCTTCACACAACACTAAATGTTTTTGGAATGACTTTTGAGAGAATACACACACTCTAAAAATCAGCCTAGCCCTCACTTCTCTTGGTGTCGCCGATTTTGGTGGATAGTATGTTCCTTATATAGTGTGACACATCTAGGGTTACACCATGTAAACCCTAATGTGTCATGACTCTTCATTTCCATGACCCATGAGTTTGTAACTTCCATGGGGCATCCTATGGGTTTAACCTAACTTGATAATCCATGGCGCCTCTTAGCCCACTATACAAGTTATGGTTGATTTACACAATCAATCCATATATTTAATTAATTATCTTTTGATCACTTAATTAATTCTAAATTAATTATTGATCAAAATAATTAAATAATACTTTTAATATACTAGAACTCATAATATATTAATAAACCACAAGTGTTATTTCTCTTATTTAGTCTATCCAATTGCATGGTGCCATGTAACCCAAATGGACGATGCCAGGTCAGGTTAAGTACATATCAGAAATAGTTATGGACTTAGACACCTTATCCAACAGTCTCCCACTTGGATAAGTCTAATAACTATAACTGCAAGTATGACTTCAGGAACCGATCAGCAATTGTATCTCTTTCAAGGTTTCTCGGAACTGAAAAGATAATGATACGCCATTTAAGATAAGTGATCATATAATCCTCTGCTCTAGTTATCATCCGGACAAATACATTGAACAATGTCTTACTTATTGTCCAGTAGTTTGTTTCCCGATTTCCGATTTGTTTGACAAAGAACTTAATTGAAAACATCAACTTAGTTCTGACCGGGCCTAGTACATAGTTCAAAACAAAATCATCATTGTATATAACCTTGATTTATTTGATGGGTTTTGAGCATTCTAACACTTCCT